CGAGGGACGCGCATCCATTTTTGTGAATCCAGTCTTTTAACAAGCCCGTGGAACAAAAAAAATCAGTTTCAACTCTATTCATGCAATCGAAGCAACTTCAACGAATGTCACAAAAATTACCACAGAATAAATGACAGAAAGGCGAAAAATGCCCGAAATGGGTGTCCCAAGAGATCTCATTAAAAAATGCTTAATCAAGAATAAGTATGATGATCCATTCAACTACTGTTTTTGCTTTTAATTCACAATAGCGTGGATAACGTGGCTTACCTGTAGCAAAAATTTGGCGTCGATTGCCCTATCTGCGCGCGGCTTGGAGTGGGGTGAGGGCATGGCAAAGGATTGGGCAAGGTTGCGCGGCGAAAATAACGAAGTGGTGGAAGTACATGATAAGGCCTTGAGACCTTCAGTCAAAGAGGCTAGTGCGGTCTCGCGTTTTCCCGCCTGCCAGAGCAGCTTTGCTCGCTCCGTCAGCGCGCCCACATTGCCCTGACACTCGGCGTTCAACACGCAAGTATAAGCTGCCATGCATTGTCCGGCTCTATGGTGCAAAATGCGAAAGCAAGGTGCAAACAACAACTACTACAACTAGACACTAGTTAAGTAACCACTCAGCGGATGCGATGTATAATAAGTCTATTAAAGTTGGTATACTTTCTTGCCAGTTTGGCCCGCTGAAGCCAGCTGTCACCGAGGGCAGAGTCCAGGAGGCGTATTTGATAAGCTCTGAGTTGCTCACCAAGGCCAGAGATGGAGGAAGGAGAAGCCATCTTGAGACGGGAAGTAACCAGTTGCATGGCAGCGTGGCGCATGGCGAGAACTGGTTCCAATGTATGAAATGTCGGTCTAGACTGCTGCACACGAGCATCGAGCCAGAATAGCAGATTGTTCACGAGTAACTATAAAGTGCGTAACACCATCAGAACCATGTTTAAAGAATTTATTGATGATAAAATACAAATAATAAAGCATACATCAGAGTTCTTTTGACATTGTAACAGACCGAGCTTGCTAACAGCTGTCACTTCTTTGATTAAACGATTGGACAAGTCAATGATGCTTTCGACCTCCGTAAGGAGACTCAATTTAACAAGTGGTTCACAGGCTCGCAGGTAACCACTTCCACCCTCTAAGGAGGAAGTGGCGAGAACAGTCATCTGTCTCAGACGCAATTCATCCATGAAATCATCCAAGTGACGATATCCTCGTGCCTAAGAGGAGAAAAAAACTCGTCAGTTCGTAGCATCTCAATAAAGCTCAAGGAATTGACCTCTGCTCTACTACGGACAAGTTATTATGATGCTTTGCGACAAGCAGTTCACCGACAAATTGGTACAAATTCATGGGCATAGGCTGTGGCGCCAGATCAATACGAAAGGATAGGTATGATAAGAAAACCCCCTCTGATAAGAAATAAGCTGGTCGTTTCCTTTTCAGCAGACTAAGGAAAAATCGAATATGTTGAAGGCACTTCGAGTTATTTTTGCGAAACAGTTCATCAAAGGTAAAAGGAACAGACCTCGCTTTGACCTTGCTTCATGGAGAGGAACACCTTGGCAAGCCCAACTGGCCAGGAGGATTCTGGCGAGTCCTAAAAAAAGTGTCCCTGTTATATCGATAGAAATTCACTAATCCTAGGTAACAATTGCTACACGAATCCCGGAAGCACCCTATCGAGAAACCAGATCGATTTCGAATAGATCCACCACCACCACCCACCATTCGAACAATCGTTGGTCTAAAACCACACAAACACAAATGTGACTCACTGAAGCCATGACTTGATCCAGTTTATCCCAGTCACCAAGCCGAATGGTCGCCTCCACACGAAGTTCATTTAGCTGCCGTGCCCAAGCCAAGCTGTCGGGGTCTCTGCAGGGATACGAGGTAAGAAGAGCATCGATTCGCGTGATTAGCGCCTGGAGGCACGCAGGATCGGGCATTTGGCAACGAAAAAGACCAACGTGCAGCCCCCAAGCTTGGGCGTTACTCTGGGCAGTAGACAAAACGTGCTCATAATTGGTGCATGCCATTTCTAGCTGATCTTCATTCTCCAATTGCAGAGCTTGCAGAAGGGAACCACGAATGGAATCGTATTTAGTGAGCGTTGCAATCGATTTGGACGATGGATGGATCCCCGTGTGTTGCATTTGAGCCAAAACACCAATAAGACCTAAAATTATCGCGTTTAGGAAAAAAATTGCAGTGAGCAGAGCAATATTTGACACGACGCATCGGATACGTAGGTCCTCAGTTAACTGCGACAAGGGAATGCTATATGGAAAGAAAATTTCAGTTGTCCTGAAACCCAATACAGTGTTTAAGCTACCGAATGGGCAAGTAAAGCTGGAGTCCAGTCTGGCTAATTTTGCAAATCGAAATTTCCAGCCTAAAGAAAGTAGTGAGGAAAATCAATCGACACGGCTCACCGTCAGTGTTATGGAGAGCAGTGTGGGTTTCCAGAAGGCCTATGAGACTTTCTTTCCCTATATCACTGATAAGGGGACCAGACGGAGCCTCAAGGCGGTTAATGAAGCCGCTAACGTAAAACGCTTTGCGAGCGACTTCATCGTCGGCGAAGGAAAATTCCCAGTTTCGCAAAGTGCGTGCCAATCCTCCTATCCGACGACTTGCCCGCGCCCGCACCGAATGCGGTAGGGAGTCAAAGAACTCCGACATTCGTGTCACCGCTTACAAGAGGATGAAAGCGAAGGAAAGATCCGCTTTATTTTCACATTAATATTTCCGCTTCTTTCAAGCTGAGACTGTTACACATCTTAAATCATTACTTAAAAAGGTTGTTGGCTAAATTTTTATAAGGGTGATTTCCCAAGATAAAAAACGATTTGGTTTGCATCTCAGCGCTAGCTACTTTACCGCACTCAATATAAATGCGATTCTTTAAAATCTAGCCTAATTGTAACGAAAAAGTTATTTAGATACAACAGTTCTTGGTGCCATTTGTAACAGACACTGCGTCTAAAATACAAGAAATTATCCGATTCATAACAACAAGGATATTACCATAAAAAAGCACAACGTTTAATAGAGATCATATAATAATTGCTACTTCCATGCAACTAGGAATAATAACCACATTGATTTAGGATCAGAAGGGCACGAAAAAGCACTCGCCAGCCAAACTAGTGATCCGTTCTTTTACACAAATTAGTAGATCTTATGAGAGCCGAAGAGGACTTGATCGCATGTCAACCAGATAAAAGGATAAGGATTGCAGCGAACCCAGATGGAGCTCAGTGAGAATGGCCCTTTCCTCCAAGTTGGGTTTGAAGGCATCATTGGGCCTACGATCAGTGGTTTTCGCAATCGCCGCGACTACTACCGCGTAATCTGCGGATCTAGCCCGCAGCCACGCGCTCAGGTAATCGAGAAGGGAGAAAACTGTCTCTACTGCCAGCGGATACCATGGCTTCCAGACCTTTCGCTTCATCGGGGGCTAATCAGGTGTTAAAGTAGATTAACTGAATAGATACATTTGGTTCTGATGCTGACTGCAGCAAACAAATTATGCAGCATAGAGTTATACGACGCGTTTAAGCCCTACAGTATGAGTATTGGAGATTTCACATTGCTTTCTACAGACCCGATGTCTTGAACTCCGATCGACCCATCCCGTGTCTAATCGCCAGTTTATGATCACAGATATAAACAGTTTGTAGGCATGATTCAATGCTTACCGTGCTTGAAGATGGCTTAGGGTCGCCGTAAAACAGGAAGTCAGCAGGGAACCTATCAGCATAGCATCCGACTTGTTTAGTATCCGCCACCGTCTCCAGAACCGCCAAGACTTCAGACCGCAACTGTTTCATTTACAAACAAGAAGTCTTAAGAGAACCCTCAACATCCCAATGTATGATGACTTAACTGTTTAGGCATTTTAATATCGTTTGCTCTACTACCCAACTTCAAAGCTTAAAAATGAAATTGTGGCAGATTCGTATTTGGGATTGGCTAGAAAGGAACTTAAGAATTATTAACAGTGTCGATGTAAAAACCGTCGCATGCGTCATAAAAAACATATTTGTCCAAACTTTCAAGAGAGCATAAGAGATTCCTGCTTTTTATTCAAACAGTTTTTACTAGGATTATCAACTAACACCAGGTGAGTGCAGCACATTGTGTCGAAAATGCATCCCGCTAAAACCAACATCACTGACTTCAATAACTTGATGGAGCAAGACATTTAAATAGCAGATACAAAAAGCACAATTAATACACGAAAATAACGCCCACTCAACATAAGTGAACAGCGTTTGAACCAACCTTGACGGTACCCATCTGAGAACCGTCGATTACGACTTGGAGAGCGATATGGTCGAGAATATATCTGGCGAACTCAACATCGGATTTTATAACTGGTTCGCAAAATTGAAACAAATTGTATGCCATGGAGTCCGATACCTAAAAGTATTGCACATCAAGACCACGAAGTTAACAAGAAGATCTATTACTTGGACAGGAATTTGTACTTACGTGGACTTTTAGTGAACCAGACCAAAGACGAATCCACGATTCATAAGATTGGCATTCATCTTGACCAAATATAGGCGATTGTATGGAATTCCAGTCGGTAAAGCCCTCCACAACGTACCTAAGCGAAGAACAAACAGTGGTACTGAATATTTAGACATATGGGGATTAAAGTAAGTCTAATTTAACAGCACCACCTAGGGGTGGTTAGGGACAAAAGGGCAAACACCTTGAGACTGCAAGGCATACGAAGTTGACGCCTCTGATGCAAAAAAGTGCTCAGCAAAACATACTTTGAACTAAGTAATGGTGTGAGAAGATCCTGCACACTTTGGGAAAACATTTCCCACAGCTCTGGACCCAAAATAAAGCGCTTTATTTGCAGCACTTCGATATCAGTGTTTGACGAGGCTCCCGACACCCCAAACAACCGCAAAAGCTCTTGAATTGCTAGTGCTGCGGAATCCTGCAAGTCAAAAGTGGTGGCAATAATTGTATTGCAGCAAAAAAGTAATAAGCGAAGTTTATAACTCACCATTTGTTTGGGACTGGCGGCGCGCATGTAAATCTTGGAAAGCTCCATAATGACATCAAAGGTGAAGGATTGTTCCCAATTAAAAGCGGTTTGGATGCTCCCTGTAGGTATGCTTTCAGCTGTATGAAGCGTCAACGTGAGTCTAAATGAAATAAGTAGTTGGCTCAAATTCACCGATTTTGTAAGAATAATGTGAAAGACAAGAGATGTGCGTTGCCTGTTCAAAGAGTTGGCACGTATTATGCGGATTTTGCATGCTATATGGGAGCAAGGAAGAAAATCGTGTTTATTTTCTGAGAGGCAATATGCACATTCTTCAATACACTTTAACTATAAAACGAGTAGAATGCACGACCTTGATGGATCAATAGCACCCAGAGCACCGAGCCACCTAGCATAGAGTAGACGAATATCCTGATCGGAATCACGGGTAAGATCGGTTATGAGGGAGGCAATTAATTTGGAGAGGAGGTTTCGGATGGAGGAGGAAGAGGTACCATCTCCAACCGATTCGTAGATAGAGGATGCTATTGATAAAGGCCGATGGTCTCGGAGAGCCCTGACAACAAGTCGAGATAGTTCCATGAGTCCACCATTGCAACGACGACCCCCAATTGAACTTGGCACAAGCGATGCCAGGCAGTAACGGCGAACAGACCGACTAGAATGCTGCAATGCCCCAACCCAAGCCGTTAGCAGGTCAACGAAACCAGTGGGAGGAGCTAGTTGCAGCTCCGAAGGATCGAGATGCCCCTCATTTGGACCACACAAATCACGCCTGTAGGGCAGAAGGTCACAGTAACCCGGAAAGCATGCATACATAAAAGAGAAATTCTTTGATTCTACAGATTTTTATCCTAATTTTGGTAATACAGCAAGGTTCTTTAAGTTCTTCAAAAAACAAAAGACGACGTTGGCTATTCTCACAACCATAAGCCACTCGTATTTAATATGTATTAGATTAAACGGATATACTTGACCACAAAACTATACATAAACAAGTAGTTTTAGAGATAAGAATACCGAAACGATAGCCTCACCAAGGACAAATGGCTTTGAGTATGGGTTGAAAGTCCTTCAGGCCCGGTAAATCGGGAAGAAAGAAAAGCTGTTTTAGCGAATCCTCAAGTTGATCTCTGAAGTATAACAATGAAACATTACAAAGCCGTGAAAAATATGTAATCAAACTGTAAAACCGTAACAAGATAAATACCGTCGTTTAATAAAAATACTTGTAAGAGCCTTCCTCACAGAGTCTGGAGCTATGGGATAGAGACCGATCAGATTTGCCACAATGTCAGGAAGAAGCTCAATGAGAGAATCACGCTCCAAACTGTAAAAGGAATTAAGCATACGCGATGAGCGTATTGATAATAGAGCAAGAACTGCCATGTTTGGGAAACTAACGTTTTGAGGAAAATAGACCACAGCTGGACAACGATCTGCGGTTCAGCAACTTTGTAGCGAAGACAGAGTCTAAAGGAGGAGCATTAAAAGAAAAGATTATCGAAAAGGGGACCTTAAAATGCATGATAGTAGCTGTTATTCAAGAGCCCAAATGTTTCCAAACGGTCCCGTAAGGTATTTTAAACCAAATGCAATGTTAGTGTTAAAACTAAAATAGTAAATCAAAGACCAAGAATCGAAATAGTGGAAGAGAGAGCTGGCTGATGAGGTGAAACGATGATAAATGTAACCAAACTGTAAGCAATTAATTTGAACCCATGTTGGCCATAATAATAAAAACCATATATTCTTCAGTGAATGCCGAAAACTCACTTGAGAGTGGCAATGAACTTAGCGCGCATTCGCGATACAGATTGGCTGCCGATGAGGTCTATAAAGACAGCCAAGCTTAGCAAGTACTGTCTTCGCTCCTCCAGGGGACATTCGTCATCCAGCAGCCGACTGTCAAAGAAGGCCAAAATACCACATAGATGCTGTTGAAGACATTCACCCTATAAAACAGGATCACTATTCAGGTAAATCTAAAGATTTTCTCGCCACTAAAACATGCATCATACTCACAAAACCATCGGATGAAACATCTGGAAGCACAGCACCAGTGCGGAAGTGGGCAGAATGGCGTTGCTGCAAGAAAAGGCCAGTGAGGGGTTTAACCAGAGGATTCATCACCTTGCTGACAAGCCAGGACAGACCCGCATGGGCCTCTGCGCGATGCGGATATAGGTTAAGAATGAACTGATGCAGCAGTCTTGAGACGTCATTCATCTGAGCCAACTGCTCAATCGAAACATCAAGATGTGACTAAAGCGTGATAAAACACAAGTAAACGATTTTGATTGGCTTTGATGTCTGCAAGAATCATGGAATTATAAAAAGAAGCATGAAATATTGAGTACAAACCTGTAAAGAAAACTTGAACATTTGTATACCTGCTTTATCTATTAGTGAGGGTGAAAGAGTCCTAGTAAAATAAAACCATGAGCCTTTTGATGCACTACAGAGCCGTGAAATATCACCTCCAGGAATTTAAGCGCTTTTGTCCGTTGATCCTCCGAAAGATTGGTGAATATATGAACGATGACATCTGGCAAGATACAGAGTTGTACAATCTTTGTGATGTAACTGTCTGTATTGGTCAGGTCTGGGCTCTGCTCGATTAACTGCTTGATTCGCAGATGACTTTCGTGAGTTCCTTTGACAACAAGAAGAATGAAGAGAGGTGTGGTGAGTTCCTAAAGTTCGAACAAAGGAGCGTTAGAAGCCTAAGTAACAAAATGACGAAAACATGCGTCAGAAAGAAAAGAAAAGTGTAATTCAAATGACATTTTGAGTATGAGCCCAATAAATACTAATTTAAGATTTTGTGACAGCAATGAACAGGTAGACACCAAAAAAAGCAGAGGGTAGGTTCAATAGGAAAACTGCTGTTTGCTTTACTGGGATGGATAAGTAAAGGCTATGGCCAACTGCATGCGATTAACAATTGAATTTAAAATAAACTTAACCAAAAGAACTTACCCGTACTACGCTTAGTTTTTCCAGTTGAAAAACCCGGGCAAGAGTTTCAAATGCTTGAGCAACAGAAGGATCCAAATGTTCCATGATAACCTGACAGTCAAATAATATTATCGAATTCAACCATTTCAAGCTAAAGTTGAAGAAAACTCACCTGAGCTATTTGTTGTTTGGCCTTACGTAGGATGCATAAATTTGTTGAGACTAAACTAGATGACAGCCTATTAATCTAGGGAGACAAGTAAAACGAGTCATAAGAACAATGTGTAGAAATATTTGGATTCTTTTAAAATTATTAAGTTAAAAAGCAAGATGATCTTGGCTACAAGGCAAGGGCACCGTGTGCCAACTAGAATGGCAGACAAAAAATATCAAGGTTTCGTTAGAGTTCAGTAGAGCAACAACAAATTACCTGAATTGCTGCTTCTCCAATCAAACTATGCGAATGGGAATTGGAAAGGCCAAGACGACAAATGCTTGCAAGGACGTCTTTCAACAAATCACAATAGATAGACACCTGACTATTTCCACCATTGACACACGAAACCCGTAAAATGGATGGGTCAACATCACGACAGCCTATTCGCGGCCTCTTTACACCACCCACTTGTTCACATGAACTGTCCCATTCATCAATTATGCCACTGGTGAGAGGGTCTAAATTTCTAATGCCATTGGCCAACTGCCTCCCAATACCTCCCACTACTTCCAGGCAGGTCTCCTGATAGGCATAAGAATTTTCACTGGTGTGCACAACAAGGCGATCGAGCAACAGTCGATGTAAGGGAGCCCACTGAGACGGCCTTTCGGGGAGGAGGCGGCCGCAGAGTTCAATGAAGATGCCACTACAAGTGAAATTGATCAGCACTTCAGCTTAGCTATGAATGGGGGGGAAGTGCGCTCACTTGAGCCAAATCCTCGTATAAAAAATCGATTACCGATAACCACATTCCATTAACGTCTATGATAAAAGTATTAACTATTAACTGTTAGTTACGTGTTTACCTTTAACAGAACCAAAAAAACCAACGCGAGCTCTTTGTAATCATGCGAAATTAGTGTAGCATGAAATACAGCACATGTTCGACAGATGCCTTCAGTATCATTGTCTAACATTATTTGACGAACAATCTATGTGAAATCGCAACGCACCTTAGAAATGTGACAGATAAACGATCAACCATTTTGACCAATCCAACGACGGCTTCTGTGAGATTGGTAATGTCCACACTGCTGCAAACGTCCCATGATATATGTTGAACTGCGTGTGAGGCCAACTGCAATTTGCGTAAAGGAGTATACAGTGGTTGAGTGGCATTACCATCAGGCCAATCGAAATTCAAAATCTGGAGAACGGTGGCCATCTGGAGAGGTTGGGGGAGGGACACAGAGTATTCGTCTGCCAAACATCTTGCACACCTGTTACTAGCAGGAGACCAGGTCAGGCATATGGCAGTCTTCACTAATTCGAAAATGCCCTCCTTCACCTTCTCTGAAGCTTCCTCAGGCGCAGGGAGCGAGCTGAAATGAGGGAAATTGAAGCAAGCTTACCGGACGTCAAGATTGGTAAAATCCTTACCATGGCATTAGGGGACTTACCTTAATGCAATCTCAATAAGTGTAATTATACTTGATCCCCAAGCATTTCTGTCGCGCATTGAGGCATCATTTATCCAGTAGAGGTTTCCTTGAGCTAATACTTTTTTTAGTAGTTTTGGCAAAAAAGTCAGTGAGAATTCAATGCCTTTTCTCTTTGAAAAGACCATAAGAAGCACAACAACCTGCAGAGAAGCTCCCAAGAGGAGCCCATTTTTCTGGGGCAAATCCTGTCAAAAGATTAACTTTAAATCAAGAGCATACAGAAATGTCCTTGAAAAAGTTCCATAGTGCCTTTAGCTCTTGTTCCTTCAAATCGATAATGAGATCATGAGTTAGCGAAGCGCTGAAAATGTTTATTAATAGATTGATTTGACCAATCAGACTACAAAAATCGGAGTCCACGTCCACGGTTGTTGAAATAAATGCCTTTATCAACATAGGAAACACAAGGTCAATCAAAGACGATGCAGCATCTTTCCATCTAGCTATAGCGTTAGCAAAACTACAAAAAATCCTACTGTTGACCAAATTCACAACAGTGAACACAGGCCGAGACTATCAAGGACAGAAAAGGCCAATCGGTGAGCTCCTTGGAGACGAACATCAGACCGACATCGGACAATATTGAATCAACAGACTCTGTTCCAATCCGTTTAAATCCAATGGAGAAGAATTTAATTACCTACTTTAGTGAAACTGGTCAAAATATGAGCATACCTGACGCCGGAACGTTTCATTGTATTCATAATCAAAGTCCAATGTATTTTCATGCATTACAGCTTTTAACACGGTCTTATCATGAAGGAGCAATTTAACCAATTCCACCTGGGCGTTTTTGAGTTCAAAATCGTGAATAAGATCTTGACAAAAGAAATCCATTATAACAATCACGAGATCCGTCTTGTGGGGTAGTTTTCGATTTGGGAGATTAAGAATGCAAGATTTGCAAGTCTAAAGTAATAAATCATGGTACTTGACAATGATATGCATACCAAGATTAGTTCCACGAAGCTCTGATTCAAAACCTCACTCCAGTCATTAATTATGTAAGAAATAACACGTTGGACTCTTTTGATGAGGTTGCAACACGCCTTGACAAGATTGCTTGGCCCATTCAGCTTGTGGAACAAAATAGCGGATTGATCTTCCAACTCATTTAAAAGCGGAAAACATCCTAAGCTTTTAGATATGAACAGAAACAATTTATCCATGAGTGTGGACACATGTGACAATCCCAAACACATCACAGCCTCTAAACATTTTGTCGTCGCTTCAATGCAAGCCTAAAAAACAAAAAATATTCAACTAACTGATCGATATTTTATGTGAAATGGGTTTCGAGAACTTACCAATTTGCCATTCAGGTCGGCCAACTCAATTGCTCCCAGCAACATTTGAAAAATTCGTTCCGCAAGAGACGGCCGCATGGCCAGGAATCGTGGGAGGCATACTGATGTTACTTGACTAAGCGAGGTCGCATAACGATGACAAAAATCTTACCAAACAAGAATAATGAAGTTGTAGGCCTCATCAACAGAAGTAATTGCGATATGAGAAAAGTTAAGGTTGATGGCACCATTCTAGATATGTTGTTTTAAGTTGCGAAATACTTACCATTACTTTTACCTCTGGAAGACCAGACAAACTGGGAAGCGCAACACTAAACGTCCCAGGAGCTTTGATTTCAAGTTCGTCATCATACTGAGACAATCGATGTAACACCACTTTAGTTCAGGGGTATAAAGCGTTCAGATAAAAACCTACTAAGTAACGACGAAACCAAGTAATCAGTTAGAGAATTCACATCAGAGATCATGTGCTCTTCAAGCATAATAAGAAGCTTGCTGAGAGCGGAAGAAATTGATTCAATTTGGCGATAGGAACTGCGTTTTCCTATCACTATAAAGCAATGAAGGCACCAGGCCGCAAAATCTAAAGTGAGATTAAAAAAGCCATAATAGCAATAGAATAATGCAGTGAATCTGGGTAATTCAATGATCTATTTCCATACCATGAAGGTCATCACCGAGGGCCTCTAGGTACGAGTAAGGATGGTGTGTAAAACTGCCTTCTGTACGGACCATAAAACTAAGAAGATTGACATCTTCTTTAGTAGTTTGCTTATGTGAGTTTGAGCAGAGTGCGTCAAGAACACAATACACGAATTTCACAGTGTCTTCCGGCGACAGACTAAAGTGGCCCTAAAAACTGCCAATTCAAGTACCTTGAGCTCTCTTTGGAACCAAATGTCGGTCCACAAGCATTAGCAATTCTCCTCTTCTAAAGTAATTAATTCGGGGCAGCAAGCAGAAGACTATACCTTCGACAGCTCCATGCACCAACGACAGCGAAAAACCCGCCATTGAAGGACAAATGGAAAGTCGCTCTACCATTGATGCTCCAAATAACTATAGAAGAAACGCGAATATTTAATAATACATAACTGCAAAAATTTATTTAAAATGGTTAAGCGAGGCCATAAATGCTTATTATACTAACATGCGTGCGCTAATAAACTAAGCAATAACTCAATTAACGGAAATGTTGACCATAATAAGGGCAGACTATCGGCTTTTTCTTTCATCATTTCGGCTCTTGACAATC